TAAGAGGCTTGAGCAGTTTCCGCCCAAGTTGGAGGACTTCACATCCATCTCGTGAAGAACTCTAAGTGCGCTGTGGAGCCTAACAAACTCCGCGTGTGCCTTAGAGGAGGATACAGGGGCCTGATCAACCTCTAGCCTCTCCCCGTCGCCGCACGATCCCTCGACGTACCCTACCCTGCGCGCTCGTGGAGAGTCACCTTTTGGACTCTCATTTTGGTCATTCCACGGAGCCTAGCAAACTCCGTGAATGGTATCCAGAGCTCTGTTCATGTTCGTTTAGCGGAGCCTAGCAAACTCCGCTCGTGTGTCTTTGGTGGAGCCTAGCAAACTCCACTTGTGTTTGTCTGTAACTGCAACTCAAGAAAGTTTTTCCTGCCTGCACCGCGACCACCTACAGTGTAAGTAAAACAATCTTTAATCAATCTCTACGCGTCAGTGCCTAATTCTAGTTCGCCGTGCCGACCTTTTCCCCGGCCCACGTGCCCAGGCTGCTGGCCACAGCCCCTCGGCCCCAACACTAAGCAACACTTTTCAAAATACAAGGTAAACTCTTAGCCCTGTCCTGTGTCACCCCAAAGCAAAGCTGTTATTTTCAAGCAAAACACCCCCCTCCCCATTAAAAAGCATTTTTCAGTGGAGCCCAGCTAATACTCCTTCCCCCCAACCCAAAATTACATTTTCTTTCCCCAAAACTTGCACTTAACAAGTACGTGTTTACAAGTTTGAAAACGACCAGTTACTAGATACCGTCAGTTTTCTCTTGTCATACAGAACCTCGATCACACACCGTCATCTTCATCTGACATATATAGTGTACCTAGCTTCAAGATTGTCCTCTTGTTTTACGATGGAACAGAAATCATTAGGATGTTTATACTTGATTTTCTATTTTATTAAGATTTTAAAAGCCACGTAACCCTTTAAGTCAGGGATGGGCAAAATACAGCCTGCAGGCTGAATGCAGCCTGCCAAGCCATTCTATCTGGCTCATGGGGCCCCTAAAAAGTTTAGTAAATTAATATTTATTTGTTCCTGGCTGCCTCTCAAAGATGATAAGATCCAGGGGCAGTAGGACCAAGCAACCTAGATCCACCCCATCATACCCCCAGCCACTTCCCTGCCTTCCTGCCCCCACGCTGCTCCAGCATCAGGTGGCTCCTGGCTGCATCTTGGGACTGCAGCAGCACAGGGCCATGTTGGTACCCCAGGGGGGGTGTGTGTGTGTGTCTGTGTGTGTGTGTGTGTGTGTGTGCGCGCGCGCATGTGCACGTGTGTTTGTAGGGTGAGTCCCACATGCACACCCCACCATACACATGTACCCACACCCCCTTGCACTGCCATACACCCCCATCCTCCCCCCCCTCACACATCCCAGCCACCCTCTCCCCCACAAACCCCATACTCATCCACACACAGACCCACGTACTCCCTCAACCCACACCCACCCTCCACACCTACCCACTCCCCACAGACACATTCACACCCTCCCCCACACCCCACATACCCACAGCCCCCCACAACCTTATACATACCTCCTATGCCCCCACCCCTCCCCACAATATACAAGAGTGAGACTTCATTATAAGCTATTATATACAATCACCTGTATGCACATTACACAAATATATGTAAACCAGATCAAAAATATTTTTTTAAATCAATTAATGAACGTTGTAGATGTTTGCTTTTTAGAGTACAATTTGGTATTTTTCTGGTTCTGAGATGGCAGAACCTCTTGCTGAAAGGAGTAATTCTGGGGGCAAGGGGAGGGACTCCTGGTTGCAAAGATCAGGGGTTAGGGAGCAGGATTTCAGGTCATAAGATGGTGACCAGGGGGCAGGGCACATGTCAAGGGGAGGGGCTACCCATGCAGCCCTTGACAGCTTGCCAAAACTTGGTAAGCGGCCTTCCAGCTGCAATAATTGCCCGCCCCTGCTTTAAGTTGTGGCAGAACATTTATACATTTTTGCACACTGAATAGATTTTTTCTCAAGAGAAATGGAATGATTCATCTGCTTGATGCTATGAAATGTCTTGACTGCATGGTTGTAGATTTAAGCAAATTTGTTTTCCAAGTCTGATTTTTTTTTTTTTTTTTTACCTATGCAGAAGTCTCTACATTCCCTACTAGTTGGAGACTATGCTGACCAGTGTATGCTCCCTACCATATGGGTGCTTGCAACTGGTCATCATTGTGACAGTCTCCCATGAAAGGCTTTCTGCTGGAGAGCTACTTCTATTAGACTCATTTTTTATTCTAGAAGCTGATGGAGAAACTGGGTGAATTTACCTACAAAAATCTACCCACTATCCCCAATAAATTAATGAAAATAATTTGTGAAGGATAACAGTCACAACATAGCTAGAGGATAAAGCAACCACAGACTATAATCCTCAGGAGCTTATGCAGAATGAATCTTGCCAACCAAAATTAATTGCTTTTTTTGATAGAATTACAAAATTGAATGGTTGAAGGAAATGCACTATATATATCATGTATTTGGATTATTTGGATTCCAGGAAAGCTTTTCATATAGTTTTTCATTAAGGCCTCTTTTGAGATTGAATTCAAATTGGCTTGGGCATAGACACTGTCATGTTGATCAAAAGCAGGTTGAAAGATCCTTAACAAAGGGCAATGATAAACAGGACAGCAATGAGAAATGGCTTTTGGTGTGCCTCTGGGGTAGATAGTAAGTCCTGACTGATTAAAAATCTTATAAAACATAGCCTTATAAGCAAGATCCCCATGTTGTGCAGGGAAAACAACCTCGTCTTAGAATCAAGAAAATATGGGAATAATACGTGTTGGCAAATATTTTTGTAAACTGGTTTTCAAACTTGTTGTCAAATAGCTATGAGCAGTAAATAAGGACCTGCAATGTGTTTGTCACAGGCAAGTTTGCTGTGGAAGTATGTGGCCCCTTTGACCTACTAGTATAATTCAAGAGAGAGGGGGGCTTTTTTGGTCTAATTTTGTGCTCAAATTTATTCAAAATCAGTTTACAGCCATTTGTTTTGGTGCCTACATTCACATATGCCCCTGACTTCTTCTCTTTTTTTTTTTTTTCTTTTTTTTTTGGAGGGGGAGTGTGGGGCAGGGAGAATCATATCCTGCTCATTCTTTGTTTTCCTGAGATGAACAAAGTCAAGCTCAGTCTCCTTTCATAAGATAGGCTCTCCATTCACTTGATCAACCTAGTAGCCTGTCTACACCTGATGGGTAGAAGAAAAGGGGTTCCTACAGTGCCTCTCTTACAGCAGGGTCACGGTTTGATTAGATGAATCTGAAAAATGGCTGCACAAACTGAAGCTCCAAAATACTGGGGATTCATCTATCACATGTTGTAATTTAATGATTCATTTAACTGAGAAACATTTCAATGCAAGTAATGAAGTTGCCTGTATACAATTGTATTTGACATCAATTGTGCAATAATTGGTTAATTAAAATAGTTTACTAATTTACTTTCTAGCTTGCTGGCTGAAATTTGTGCAATATTGAAATGATTTGCTAACAGACTTTCGCGTTTTTGCAAAAACGCATGTAATAATGCATAAATATATATTACAAAATAATAATTCATTGCATTTTCTTCCTTCCCAGTTGCCCATATTGGCATCTTCGGTTGTTAGCCTCTATTTTCTTGAACTCACTGATGTTTTCAAGCCAGTTCATTCTGGATTCAACTGCTATGACAAAAGTCTGAGCATGCCATATATTGAACCTACACAAGAGGCTGTTCCTTTCCTGATGCTGCTTAGTTTGGTTTTTGCTGGGCCTTCAATTACAGTGAGTAATAGATGCTTTCATTTCTAATCCAAGATTTTGGCACAGATATCCAGTCGGTGTAAAACACTTTAGCCTCATTGACCTTACTGAAGCTTCTCTGAATCATGCTCACTGATATCCTGATTGTAGGTTTTAACATGTAATTTTTATTTTTCTATAACAAAAGGTGATGATAAGTCCAAACTTTATAGCTAAAAGTAGGAAGATATTTTAAGTGTATATTGGTTTTCAATGGAATTTGGCCTTGTAGATCTCATTAGAAAATACTTATTAACTCTAAACAGTACAATGGTAATTCCAATGAAGTGGGTTTTGTAACAAAATTTCACATAGATATGTGCACATATATCTTAATATGGAATGTATATTGAAATCATAGGAAAGTTTCCCTGGTAATAATTTATACTGAAATGACATTGGGAATTGGAAAGCCAGAACAAAGTAATTTTGGGAGACACCTTTAAATGAAGAGTCACTTTATTTAGTCTTTTACACTCAATACATTCAAATATTCTTTCATATGTACCATATTTTGTTTGTTTGTTTTTTCCTCAAGAAAATGTTCCTAGGGTTATAGAGAATGAGAAATTCTGTTCCCAGTTACATTCCCCCATTCTGATGTATCAGTCAGGTCACTGACGTTTCATGGATATAAATCCATAGACTACTACATTTTTTCTGACAGCAAGAAACAGCAGGAAATTTCCATTTAATGTGAAAGCAGCAAAAAACAGTCTTATTGACTACTGACAACAAACTGTTTAGTTATGGTTGAGAGTCACCTCTCCTGGAATGACCGGGCTTTGTGTAGAGAACAAAGAAGTGTGGAATGAAATGTATACCAGAGGAATGGAAAGAAAATCAGGTTCTATGTATTCTCTCAATTAGGGTGCTGACAGAAGTGCAAGCCACTGCTCTAACTCATGGCACTTTACATAAAGCACCATGAGTTACAGCAGCCCCTGTAACCCAAAAGACATTCATCTACTGGGTTAAGGGGTGGAGGAGGGGGGGAATCAGCTCCACTTTGGAGCCAATTAAGAAGAGGAGCCTGAAGCCTCTCTCCCCTGCCCCCAGCCTCTCTCCCTCCGCCCCCAGCTCCGGTGCTGTCTACAAGAAGGAAGGGATGAGAAGGGAGGAGGAGCAGGGTGTGGACTGGGGTTTGCCTGGCCTGAGCTGGAGGGGGAGTGTTAGAGGGGGACTACAGGGTGAGGAGACTCCAATCCACTGACCCACCCTCCAGCTCAGGCTGGGCAACCCCAGTCCACTGCTCACTCCCCCTCTCTTCTTGCAGACAGCACTGGGGTGTGGGGCTGAGCTGATGCAGCCTAGCCCTGATTGTGCAACAGATTGACACTAGGGAAGAGAAGTTCCCTAAGTGGAGCGCTTTCATCTGGTCCCTCACTTGATAAGAGTTAATTTGTTGCACAATTGGCCACTTTTAAAGCTCTCTTAAGCCATGCACGTGTGTCACCACATGGCTGTAGAGTGCTTTCAGGGGGCCAATCACACAAAAAAAATGTAACTTCTGTCTACACCCTTAGTCTCCTCTAGAGTGTTTTTTGGCCAGGCAAATGGCTTAAATTCAGATCCTATTTACCATTCCTGACAAATCAAATGCCTCTTTAATGATGGCCTAATCACAGCCATCATAGACTTTCCTACTGCAAAATAGTTAGCATGTGCCTTCAACTCATACTCTCCTTAATATGGGCATTAGTACTACAGAGGGCTCTAGGTTAACTTCACCCTTTGTCAATCATGGCATTAAGGTGTTGAAAGAATAAGCACTTTTCAGAGTCAGGGTATTTCCAAATAATGAGATAACCCCAAGTGCGGGATTTTATTATCAACTGAACCTCCAGTTTACACTCAGCTGTAGTTTACATGCCACTTTTTGTATTAGAATCAGTTTGCTTCAGTGAAGAAATACTGGTCTTGATAATGGGGTTATCTGTTACACTTTGCCAACCTGTCCTAAAATATCTAATTTAAGTTTTGGTAGTGTTGGCTTGATTTTGTAGCTGTGATGGTCCAGGGATTACACAAGAGGCAAGGATGCTTTGGGGTAATATGTTTTATTGAACCAACTGCATAGTTTGGATAAAGCTAGACAAGCTTTTGATTGCAAGACAGTCTTTATGTTGCATTCAGAAGCTTGTCTGAATTTATCCTAAGTGTATATTTGGTCCAATAAAGATATCACCCCAAAAAATCCTTAAGTTTGACAATGAACAGGGAAAAAGCAAGTGGTATGACAGAACATCCAAAACCACATTTTTAACAAATAGAAACTTTCTTTCCATGCCTAAGCAGGTCTTTTATCATCATGGGCTGCTTGTATATGTGATGGGGGTTTCGTTCTCCCTGAATGGACACGGTGGGTTTTTATTTGGTGGGTTTTTAATTGTGTCAATTAAAAACCCATTGTTTCAATTTAGGGGCTTCCATCATTGTGACAGAACAGTGAAGGCCCCCTATCAGCTCACCCTGCTCTTCCCACCCCACCCCTGCTGCTGTGAGCAAGCTATGCCATAAAAAAAGTGGTGAGAGGCTGGTTCCTTTTTCTCTTTCCCACAGCCTGCCTTAGCCTCCCATGGCTGCCGGTGGGGCAAGTGGCCCCTGAGCTGCAGGTGTGCCCTGGTTCTTCCCTCTGTGGTGGCAGCATGCCCTGGGAGCAGGCAGGCCCTACCAGGGGACTCCACCATAGTGGAGAGAAGGACTGTCCCCCGCCCCCCCTCCACACACACACACACACACAGTTTAGGGCCTGGAAGCTCACCCCCTGGCCATAGGAAAAGTGGGCAGGCTCCAGGTGGGAAAAAAAAAAAGTCCTTTCCCCACTTTTTTTTTTTTTTTTTTTTTGAGTCTGCCTACATGAGCTGCTAGCAGGTCATGCAGCCCCTGAGCTGTACAGGGCCCAGTGCTTCCCTCTGCTGTGGTGGCACTCCCTGGGACGGGTGCTGGCAGGTGGGTGTCGCCTGAGGGGTGCTACCATTGTGGAGGGAAGGTCTGGGATCCCCTGGAGTTCAGGGGCTGCTCAGCACACCAGCAACTCACCCCCTGACCATGGGAGAGGCGCACAGGCTCCAGAAAAAAAAAGGCTTCCCCTCACCGTTTATTTTTTCTCAGCAGAGCCTACCCACATGAGCTGCAGCTGGGCCATGCAGCCCCTGAGCTGCAGGGGTCTGGTGCTTTCATCCATGGTGGTGACACCCCCCTGGGCTGCCCAGGCAGGGTGCTAGCAGGCAGATGCTGCCCCAAGTCACAGGCAGAACATGACCCAATCCAACAGTGCACGGAGTACTGAAAGCCCAGGCATGCTTTGGGAAGCTTGGGCTTGGTGGGCTTCCAGCACTCTGTGCACCATCCCTGCTGCCTTCCCACCACCTGGGACTGCCTGGGAATGGGCTGGCTTGCCCCTGGAGCAGTGCAGCAAGGTGGCAGGAGGGCAGTTGGGTGTGCTGATGGCCAGAGAAGGGAGCAGGGACAATGCATGGGGCACTGGAAGCCTGCCAAGCCCAAGGTTCCCCAAGCATACCTGGACTTCCAGCACCCTGTGCACCATTGCAATCTGTTACATAGCAAACTAAAATATATCGGATGTGTTTTACTTTGCTGCATAACAAGGTAATTTAAAGTGAAATACGCCACCACACGTGTACAACATGATGAAATTAAAACAAAATACACCTCCACAGGTGTAAACAGTGAGTTCATTAAAGTGGTGCAAAAGGGCAATTAAGCCACTTCAAAGGCCAATTTTGTCACATGTCCAAGCACCCATGTGGAGTAGGTGAAAGAAAATGCCTGGGAAGCTCTTTACTCAGGGGAAAGGAAGTTTAACCCCTCTCCTTGCCCCCAAACCTCAGCCAGGGTTTGCCCAGGCTGAGGGGAGGGAGGGGGGAAGTCCCTGCCTCCCCCCCAGCCTAGGGATGGAAAGCATGCTAGGATGCTGGGGAACTGTGATTAACTTGAACCAGGAAGGGATCTGGGACAGGAGTTTCATAAACTGGTTTGACCCAGATCAGTTAAGTCTGAAGCTACATTCAACCAGGCTTATTGTAAACCAGTTTCAGCCATTTTGAATCTGGTTTACACGCAATGAACTTCTGTTCTTTTACAGGTTTAAAGCAGTCTCTGATTACTTAAACCGGTTTCTGTGTAACTTCTGTCCCTAGCCTTATATCTCTTTCTACATTACATTCATTTTGCTAACTATTTTCATATTTGACTGTTCACATAGATAGCATGTTGGTGGACTCTTTTCAGTGCATCATATAGAAAAACAGACAGATCAACTGACATGTTTTATTCTTGGTACTAACTCTGCAGAATGTACTTAATTTCAAGTTCCTTTGGAAAATTGAAGTCTCTAAAATGCAAAGCACATATAAAAACACATATGAAGGCACAAAGCTGAAATCCTCCCCTAAACAGAAAACCTCCCATAAAATTTAAGGGGGTTAGGATTTCACCAATAGGCAGTCAATAGGGCCTGGGTTAAATCTGTGTTAGCATTTCTGTTTTAAAAATTGTTTTCTTAAACATACCACACAGTAAAAAATACATTTCATTGCAAATGACCCTTGAATTCTACCTAAACTGGAAGAACTTTTTAGGTAAAACCCTGTCCATTCACTGAAATTATTTTCAGTAGAAAGCTCACTTATGGGCTTTATCCCTGTTTAAATGGGTGAGACTGTTTCCTGGTCCTTTTACTCACTAAGCAAATTTTTCTGGATCATTGTGCTTTACAAGACACCAGCTTCAGTATTGCCTACCCCAAGCATTTACAACTCACAAGCCATGAACAAGGCTCCAAAAATATAAATTTACTTAAGAATTGTGAGATTTTTTTCCCTAAATTCGGTTCATTTTTTGTCTTTGGTGCAAGAGGCTTTAGAGATGACATGTTCTATCATAAGCATCTGTGTTAAAGGTTACTTTTTAAAAATGAAAACAAATATCTGTAAGTAACACCATGGCTCTGGCAGCAG